CCTCCTCTCCTCCTCCTCTTCTTCTCCTCCTCCTTCTCTCTTCTTCTTCTTCTTCTTCCTCTCTCCTCTTCCTTCTTCTCCTTCTTCCTCCTCCTCTCTTCTCTCTCTCTCTCTTCTCTCTTCTTCTTCTCTTCTCTCTTCTCTTCCTCCTCCTTCTCCTTCTCCTCTTCTTTCTCCTCCTTCTCTCTTCTTCTTCCTCTCTCTTCTCTCCTTCTTCTCCTCTTCTTCTTCTTCTTCTTCCTCCTCCTCTCTCCTTCTTCTCTTCTTCTCTCTCCTTCTCTCCTCTTCTTCTCTTCCTCCTCTCTTCCTCTTCTCCTCCTCTCTTCTTCTTCTTCTTCCTCTCTCCTCCTCTCTCTTCTTCTCCTCCTCCTCCTCCTCCTCCTCCTCTTCTCCTCCTTCTTCTCCTTCTTCTTCTCCTCTTCCTCCTTCTCCTCCTCTTTTCCTCCTCTTCCTCTTCTTCTTACTTCCTCTCCTCCTCTCCTCCTCCTCCTCCTCCTCCTCCTCCTCCTCCTCCTCCTCCTCCTCCTCCTCCTCCTCCTCCTCCTCCTCCTCCTCCTCCTCCTCCTCTCCTCCTCCTCCTCCTCCTCCTCTCTCCTCCTCCTCCTCCTCCTCCTCCTCCTACGCCTCCTCTCCCTCCTCCTCCTTCCTTCCTCCTCCTCCTCCCTCCTCCTCCTTCCTCCTCCTCCTCCTCCTCCTCCTCCTCCTCCTCCTCCTCCTCCTCCTCCTCCTCCTCCTCCTCCTCCTCCTCCTCCTCCTCCTCCTCCCTCCTCCTCCTCCTCAGTCTCCTAATGGTTTAAATAAAGTCATTCAATCATACCAAAGCTGGTCGTGAAACTGTCGATATTCAGAGGACTATTCTCGGTTAATTTCTTTCTCTTGGGGTGAGGAGATCCGTTCGCCTTCATTCCATTTCTGCTCTCATGCTGCGTAGCCCAGTTTGCCTACAGATAAAACTATTCCGGGCAAAATGTATTAACTCTTTCTATTCCAAACTAAATCATGCGTTGATCAGCTCTTCAGAACGAGACCTGAGAACACTTCCAGATAGCTTTGTGGCGTATAAGGTAATCAATAACAGCTTGATGGCGTGTTTTATTGGGATTGGGTGATGAAAATTACAAGTTTATTGCGACGGTGAATATGGGAATATTGATATCAAAATATAGGGATAGTCATAGGATAGTGGAATATTTTCATGTTTGCTCCTTTATTGGTCATGTCGTTGAATCACTATAGTGGCGGGTATTTATTTTCCCTTTTTTTTTTTTTTTTTTTTTGTGGTGGAGCGGGCAAATTCAGCACTATTTTTTAAAAAAGGGGACAACAGTAATTAAGAGATATTTTTTTAAAACCCTTCCTGGTTTGGCAATATGAAATGGATGTGACAAGAGCACTGACTTAATTCTTGATTGTGGTGATCATGTAAATCGTTTTAGATAGCGATGCATAACCACTCCGTTTAACGGCAAGGCACCTTATAATGATAATGAAGATGCAGTGATGTTGATGATTTCTACGAAGATGTCGGGTGATGATTGCTTGGTAGATGTGATGGTGATTACTTGGACTCTCAGGACTATCCAAACACACCTTGGTACCAGTAACTTTTTAAATAAAAAGTACAGATGGTTGCCGTTATATTTTCTGAAGTACTCGCCAAATTTCAGGTCTCTCTCTCTCTCTCACTGTACCCCACCAGGACATCACACAAGCGATAAATACCCGGTGACACAATGTACCACCATGTGGACAAGGATCACCCGTGGAGAGGTCCCATAAATCCCTTTCAGCCAAATTCATGGCCTGGCTATATTCAGGGACCCCGGCACAAGCCAGGGTAGGGCTTTAAATAACGAAAAATTGCATCCCACGTGGGGACAACTAACATATAAATCAGGTCAAGTCTTGGTAAGGTATGACTAAGCTGCTGTGTTACAGTATTCGGTACTACATGTTCTTTGTTAACGCCAAATGTTGGGGCCGAGGGTGGGTGGAGGTATCCTTAGCTTGGCATCTCCTTGTGCTTCAAACTGAGGTGTGCATTAGGGTGGAATTGTAACTTTAACCTAGAATGAGGCATGCAACATGAAAGCTAAAAGCTTGAATTTTACCCTTGGTACCAATACGTCTAGGGGACCTAACTGCAAACAGAGTTTCACCTAATATCCCCCAGTCATGGCCCTTAGCAGTATCAGTCTATACATTGGTGGTGGCTTCACAAATCGTATATTAGCAAGCTGCTATCGGAAATACGTTAGTTGAGTAATCTTGTGTGTTCGTGTCTGTATATGGAGTTATGGTGTTTTCTTTAATATGCTGATGGAGTTATGGTGTTTTCTTTAATATGCTGATGAAGGATTTGTAGCCGCAACATTCACTTTCTGTGTGTGTTTTGTTACATTCTAAAGCTCACTAGCCTACATGTCGTTTAGTTTTATATCTTTTCATAATTTTATGAGAGGACAGTACTTGCACTAAGCCTTAGTCGCAGCTGATCTTGGAGGAAGTGTCTATCAGACGGACAGACAGACCACAACTCCTCTCATCCTGCAGCTTCAGCACTGCGGTTTGTTCCCAACGTATTGGTGTTAAGTTTCCTTTGGAGTAAAAAAAAAAGCAGTGACCTCTATAAGACAGCCTAGGCTTTGTGCCATGGAGAGGCAGAACTTCATCCCTTACTTCAACTGGGATCACTATGGGTTGTGATTCCCAGGCCTCCTTAGGCACGATAATTAGTGTCGCCTGGAAGGGAAAAAAAGTTATAGCTACGTGTGGGTGGTTTGCATAGCACAACTGAAAACCAAGAATACATTAACTGCTCCCATTACAAGCATGTCGTAAGAGTTGACTAATTAGGGATGTTTTGTTTGAAGTCAGAGAAAATTTGCCAGAGAGGGGAGGAACCAGTTGTCTGCATAGAAATAAGCCAGATCTGTAAACCGGAAGTGGTGCACAACCCAGGTTCTAGAATAAGGCTAAAGTCCAGAAGTAAAGGATCAGCCAGAGCTTTCCAGTTGGGGTTACAGCCGTTTCTAGAGACCAGCTCTGGTAATTCTTTCTTTCCTAATCTCCTTGTAAATGTCACTTTTCAGGAAATTCATTTAATACCTATTCCTTTCAAGATTTTATGTCTTCTTCACATAGGCAATTACGAGACCTGTATACACAATCTAATCACACTGTATTCATTGAGTCGTCGCCCTGGATCTGTACAAAATACATACAGGTCATTCGAAATCCTAGCCTACTTCTCCACGTGTGAGGACAAAAGTAGGTCAGCTATTGGAAAAAATGAGTAATTACCAACCTCAGACTGTGCGCACAGGGAGGCAATAGGAGTTCGTATCCTTTTATTTAGAATGAAATACACGCCATAGTAAGTACTACACAAAGAGCTTGTATCGCAGTCTCACGTCAGGAAATACCAGTAATGGTTTCATACTATCACACGCGGTATTCCTGCACGCTAGCGAAATGATAGAATAAACGTTCGAAGACAGTTTGGATAACTATTTAGGAATTATTGTTAATGAATTCCAGTTCCTTGGAATATCAATCACTTGGGAATGCAATGAGGCTATCGTAGAAGCATGAGAAGAATATTAGCAGATATTGATTTGCATTCGTAGAAGTTGATTGGTTGGTTTGTGATTGATTTTGTTGTTTCGGGGAGGGAGAAGAAAAAGGACGGGGGAAGAACGGAGAGGAAGAGAGGGGGGGGGGGGGGGGTAACCCTTTCTGTACCAGGAAACTCACAGCTCGTTTATTAAGTAAAGTTAAAAGTAATGGATCCTTTTCCACGCTTGCATGTATATTGTACATTTAGTACCTATCATTTTTAGACCAGCACCACGTCGGCTCTTACTACCCATGACTTTGCCTTTTACCCATTTAATGAAGTCTGGGTCGACCTTAGAGACACGATCATTTGTATCAACACCGGTTCTGTCAGGACCTGAAACGCTACCTTCCGATCCGTAGACGAGCGTCTAGCCGCTACGCCATGGTGATTCCAGCGGATTTACTGGCTACTCTTCATTAAGTACACATTTCTCTGCTCTTTTCAACCTACTATTTTGTAATTGTAACTCATTATGTCCCAGTTTTCGCCATCACGTCTTCTGATCCCTGACCGCATTTTACAATTTCATAGAAAAAGCATGCCCTGCTTCTATGAGTTGAACTGATACCGGCTCTCTGAAAATGTGGACGTCACTATGTAAGTTTGTTAAAGACATCGGTGGATGCATTGTGACCAACCTTTATTGTAGTGGAGGCACATCATTTTAAAATTGACATTCAGATGGGTTGAACCTTTTGTGGTACTTGCGCCGATGGAAGTCACATCATACAAGAGACTTTCTTCACCACCCTTCCCCGCTGCTCCACCCTCGCATCAGAGCTTCTACCGGATACGTAAAAAATAAATACTTAAAAAGACAGCGGAATGACATCGTTGGCGCCACTCCCAAATTTATTTCACAAGGCTAGGGAAGTGGGTACCTTTATCAACTAAACAATATTAGAAGTTCAGTTCACACCCCACCCCCCCCCCCCTTTTTTTTCCCCTACAAGAATTGGAGGGTGAGGAGGGACGGTGGCTGAAGGTTTTTGCTCCCACGTGATCTGGTGCCCTGGTGTTCGTCGTCTTATGTATGTATGTAATTGACAGTGTGAGATAAATGACCAGTAAAAGTACAGTATTAGCATATCCCTCGTCTCGACTATAGAACTATACCACAAAGTCATTATCAGGCTTAAATACAAGTAATTCTGGTCTATTTACATGGATGTTTCTATCTGCCATCTCGTGTATGTTTGTCAAGGACAATAACGAAATAAATACTAACAAACGTTTGACATTTCCTTATCCCCATTCCAAACTAAACATCCCTACAACAACGCCATTTGCATGATTAATTACTAGTTGCCAATGTGTCTAATGTGATTCCATTCTCTTTACTCGGCTGTTTATATTTGTCGTCTTGTGTCATTCCCAGGGGATGATCTATTTGCACGCTTCGGAAGTGGTGTCTCATGGGAAGCTTAAGTCTTCGAATTGCGTGGTAGACAGCCGCTGGGTACTCAAGATCACAGACTATGGACTTCATGAATTCACGGCCGGGGAAGTCCAGACAATGGGTGAATACGCTTTGTACAGGAGTAAGTGTCCCATGTTTATCTGTGTCTAGCAAAATCTAAACTACCCGAAATTATGATAATACACACAATATAAAGAGTGTCCTATACGTTTTCATACATTAAACAAAAAAAACATATCACCAGCGCCATTACATTCTGGCTTGTCAAATTTAGCTCTTGGCGCCAAGGTTGCTCGGCTGCAGGTCAAATGGTCTTAAGTTCAAATCCACATCGAATCGATTTTATTTTAATGCACAGGGTACAGAGGCTGACCAAGTTTAGTACTGGCACCAGGTGATACCATGGAACAAAGTTAATGCGACCAGCACGATGTTTACCAAATTACCACTGGAGTGCCGATGAGTGTGTGTGTGTGTGTGTATATAACTCTTGGAGTTGCAACTGTCTAGCTTTGTCTTCTTCTTCAAGTTGCCGCGTTCTCTCTTCTTCTTCCCTCTCTGCTGCATGACGGGCAAGCATCGAGTCTCATTCTTCTATCTCCAACTGGCGCTTCTTCTCTGTAGCATTACGGGCAACCATATAATCAAAACTATCTATATGGTATATATATATATATATATATATATATATATATATATATATATATATATATATATATATATATATATATCCGCGGTCTAGCGGATCGGAAGGTCGTGGGGTTGTTATGTGAATGGGAGCCCGACTTAGAAAAAAAAAAAAACTGATATTTTCTCCAAGGTCGACCCAGCCTTGAGTAGGTGACAGGTGCAGTCCTAGGAAGTAAAGGCAGTCGGCGTAATGCTGACCACATCACCCACCGAGTGCCGTTAGGTTTATAAAATATAGGTCTAACCCTATACACCTTCCCATCTGCTAGACCGCGGTGACTCCCACACACTATTACAAGTTGTAAAATTAAAAAAAAAAACGCTAGAAATGTGAGAGCTAGAAGCCAACACTTCGTCTGTGGAAGGAGTCTAACACATTATGCTCTGAAGCTAGCTTCAGATAACGTTGTTTGGTTGATGAGTGCAGGTTTTTCTGAGATCCCAAGGAAACTTTACAGAAGCTTAAGATTACATGTTTTGTGCAACGCTCCTGTGGGTGACCAGTTCCTTTGCTGATTGAGAAACATGCAATACAGTAAAAGTAAAGATCCATTCTCACGCCTTTGGGCACATTAGTCATATGGGAAGAGCACCCATATTTTTACAGACATATCTGCACTAGGTGGGTAATGTGGTCAGCATTGCGCTAGAGTATACGTGGTTTCGAGGCATGGTATCCGCCTCGAGTGCTAAACGTTCAGCATTTAATCCCCGGTAAGGGCTGGGATTTGTTCACGTGCACTTGAACTTATAGTAATTCCTTCTGGTCTCTGGGTAGAAAGATTGGACGCCCGTATGCATTATTGCGCACGTAAACAATTCCTTGGCAGTTGGAAATAGAAAAGAGTAGCCTTACGGCCCTGTCCGGGCAAAATTTTAAAGTTTAAAATCTACTTAAAGTATTTCACAACCCTCGCCGGTGCTGCAGAGCCTGTGCATTGTGCTGAGCTTCTTCGGCCTCGGACTTGAGTCAGAAGAAGAACAGAGCACTTATTGGTTGATATCCGTGTGAAATGATGTTCCGTTGTTCAAACCTGAAACCTCATGCCAGGAAACCCTACACGATCAACTTCCAAAGAGTTTAAGTGGATGATCCGATGTGCGAGGATGGTAATCTTTATATCAGCAATGAGCCATATAATCCTATGGTGCCGCTTCACATCATAGAGGCCTCGTAGCTCATTTTTATTATTCCATTCTCTTTTCGAAATATCCTTGTGTGGTGGAAATGTTCTACTTTTCTCTAAGGGGTTGAAAGCATTCAAAAGTTACAGTTAACATCTGTCATCTAGATCTATACAAATGCAGATGTAGGCGGCAGTTAAAATAAGAACACGATCAACTGGCAAGTAATGCGCCAGTGCAAAGGGAAGGAAGTATGGTCATAGATGATATTATCAACGCTGTACGGACCAGGTTAACTCTTTGAGTCCCAAGGAACGCATCATACGTTCATAGGTTCCTACCTAGAAGCCCAATGAACGCATGATGCGCCGATTTTATGACTCTCTTTACTACCCCCTGGGCCTGTGATGCTAAACGCCTGGGACTTAAAGAGTTAAGGTGGGGGGGGGATGGGGGGGGGATGATGAACTGCTTAAGCTAACATGCCCTCATGACCTGGGAATAAAGCTTCGTGAATCACGTGTATGCCATCTTTCAGTTTAAGACAGGGAGACATTATAACCAACTTCTCACGGGGACAATAAGCAGAGTACCTTGGAATGGCTGTAGAATCGGTCTACTGAGCACGCCTGGGAATAAGCAATGTACATTGACATCGATTGTGTTTACATAAAAACGTAAAGGACTTTCCCCTACTTCGTTACGTGTATTGGGCATATAGGGCTAGACCTATATTTTAAAGACCATCAGCACTTGGTGGGTGATGTGGTCAGCATCACGCCGGCCTTGTAAAAACATGACATTAATTAACACAACACAACTTTTCTCTTTTTACTTTCTTTTTTTCTTTTTTTTTATCACTTTTTTTTCTAAATAGAACCCAGCATAAACAGTTTAAAACGTAGGCTTCAGCCTCAAGATTTCATTCAGAATTCTAGCTCAACCAGCTGTAAAATTAAACGACTTTACAAAGAATAATTTAATCTTAGATAAGGCAATAACTTCTCTCTTGAAAACCTGATAATAGAAAGCATTACCACCGAAGTCGTTTGTGCTTTCAAGAAATCAAATCAGGAGAGACGGTCTGGGTAGACCGTGAGCGGAATTTCAAATATGTTAAATTTAATTATAGGGAACTTCTTGGCTTCACTCTTAAATAAGGATGGAGTTTACATTGTTTTGAAGCTAAACTGGGAGACAGTGACCATGAAATGATGTGCCAGTATTTGCTAGAAAACAGTGAAGTAAGGGTACACCAAGTGGTGTGAACAAGACACTAGAACTGCTTTCGTAACGTCGCCAGTCACGGTTATACTGTATATTTCCGATTCTTTTGATGCGATTAACACTGAAAAACCGATCATAAAAATGACGATAAAACACTTAAAGGATTTTTTATCATCAACACAGCAACAGCGAGACGACAATTCGAGAGCCCCCCGATACATAAACCTGGACAGACAGGAGGTTGATAGCCTTAGAGACTTTGTCTAAAGGTGATCGGAGCCTTTATGGTCAGGTCCGATGTGTGATAAAAGTGATCTTTAAGTCAACAATAAGCCATGTAATTATATCGTGCCGCTTCAGGTCACAGAGGCCTAGTAGCTCATTATTATTATTATTCCATTCTCTTTCGCAATTTGTTCAGTATCACGTGAAATCCAGTCCGTCACCTTTGGTCTCTCTCATAAATTTTGAACTTAATGTTTCGCCAAATGTCATATTTTTTCTCAGTCCAACTGTTTCCCAGTTAAGCACCTGTTTGGTGATTATAAATGTGTGTCTCCCCGGGTATGTGACCAGTATATTGCATCAGATTTGAAAAGAGCTCTGTACGTTTCCGTGCTTCTAACTTTATAATTCACATCTTTCCTAGTGCGTTTTAGGGAGTAGCGGATAGACGATTGCATGCGGATCGGAAGGTCATGGGTTCGCTGTCTACCTGTAATTTTTCTAATCGGATTACGACTTTCCCCTGTCTCAACGAGGGTCGCTTCGTAAGGAAGCATTAAGCCCAGAGACGCCTCAAATACTATCATTTTAGTCAGGAAAGTGACACAAATAACCCAGACCACAAATACAGGCGGAGACTGTTAGCAGCCTTGGCTAGCTAGCAGCAGTCTGAAAGTTGTCGAACTTTTAATTTTTTTCTCAAAAGGAAACGGAATAGGAAAGTCTGTTCATGATACGTTGAAGAAGACAGTTTTGTGTAAACTACTCTTACTTTTATTATTGTCTAAGTGTTACAACTATCGAGATTGCTATCTTCTTCTTCTTTTCTCTAATCCTGGAATCCCTTGGGATATCTGTAGTGTTCTTCTTTGTGTTTCTCATTATTTACAGACATTGTTAATGTGTTCGTTTAAACGGGCAGAGAGGGTTCTTTTTTGTTGTTGTTGACATGTACGGCCACACGTGTAGGTCTCAAATGCTAAATGGTTCAGCCTCGCGCTTTATTAAGTCATGTGTTCGTTTCACAGACTCGTTCAGTTCACGACTGTAACTTTTACATACTATGATCGCTGAAGCTACAGAGTTCGTGCTTTCTTACGATTCTAGCGGGCGGCTAGTTGTTCTGCAGAGAAGAAAGTTTAGATTAAACTGTAAAACTCCCGCCGTTCTGCAGAGAAAGAGTTTAGATTAAACTGCAAAATTCCCGCCGTTTTGGAGAGAAAATAGTTTAGATTAAACTGTAAAACTCCCGCCGTTCTGCAGAGAAAGAGTTTAGATTAAACTGTAAAACTCTCGCCGTTCTGCAGAGAAAGAGTTTAGATTAAACTGCAAAACTCTCGACGTTCTGCAGAGAAAGAGTTTAGATTAAACTGCAAAATTCCCGCCATTTTGGAGAGAAAATAGTTTAGATTAAACTGCAACACTCGCAGATTAAAGGGAACGTGTAACGATAGTCATTGAACGTAAACAAGCGATAATACAAGGGAGGGAACCGAGAATAAGCTAGAGCTTGACACAATGTTAATTGATTGAGTTAGCATCTTTCACTAGGCCAGAACTATTTTCTACAAGCACTATTCTGTTCCCCTTATTATTCAACAATAAAGTATTTGAAATGTCGTTCCTTATTTGCATGTGTAATGTTTATTCATTCGTTTTTTTTTTTCCTTCGACATAGTGATAATTTAAACTGATTGTTCGTAATACTACTTGAAATAATTGTTTGTTCTTTAAAATTGTGTCAGATACGTAAAATTTACGGTTGTGTTGTCTTTCACATACATAATGTTGACATATGTCCTTCTTGTCACCAACAAATGTACATTGTTTAACACACCATTCATTATTTACAAACATAATGCCAAAGGTTTAGTTGCTTTTTCTCAGGTATACATGTCAATGATGTTGCTTTGTAATAGACATACATTTCACATTTTCGGACATAAAGATAATTTTTGTCATTCACTTTTCATAAACATCAATATTATGGTTGCAACAGTTATTTAAAAATGTCAATATCATGGTTTCACCACTTTTTCATACAAAAAAAAGTAATGATTTCGCTAGTTATTCGCAAACATAAATACCACGGTTTCACCATTCTTTTCGCATACCTAAATATCATGGTTTTACCTTTTATATGGCAGACATAAATATCATGGTTTCACCAGTTATTCACTGATATAAATATCTTGGTTTCACCAGTTATTCGCAGACATAAATATCATGATTTTAACATTTTTTGCAGACATAAATATCATGGTTTTACCGGTTATTAGCAGACATAAATATAATGATTTCAACAGTTATTCGCAGACTTAAATGTCATGATTTCACCTTTGTTTTTCGCAGACATAAATATCTTGGTTTCACCAGTTTTTCGCAGACATAAATATCATGTTTTCACTAGTTACTCGCAGACATAAATATCATGGTTTCACCAGTTATTCGCAGACATAAATATCTTGGTTTCACCAGTTATTCGCAGACATAAATATCATGGTTTCACCAGATATTCGCAGACATAAATATCTTGACAAGTAGAGTCCTCCTCTCCTCAAAGGCGCACCGCACGTAAGGTTCAAGACATAGAATTTGTGTGTGTGTGAGTATATATATATATATATATATATATATATATATATATATATATATATATATATATATATATGTGTGTGTGTGTGTGTGTGTGTGTGTGTGTGTGTGTGTGTGTGTGTATATATATATTATATCACCCATCAGAAATTGATGGGAGATTTTGTCAACCTCACTCCGGGTACGTTTATGTGCTGTGAAATTGCCTGTTATCATTTCCGACTGGGTCCACCAAGGCCATGAAATCTTAATTTATTTATTTATTTATTTATTTTTGAAATTTCTGCCCCGTGGAATGGAACCCAACATCAACAGCCGCCAGGCAGCGTCGTCTAACCACAATGCTAAACAGGCACAGGTTCATCCCTTATTCACAAGCATAACACTGATTTCACTCCATATATTTCCATGTAGGTTCTGAGGCCTCGTTATGGGGGCTGGGGGGTGGAGGATATACCCACTGTTTCCTGACAAGCATGTCGCAAAGGCGACTCACTATGGAGTTTTCTTCTCAAGTCTTAGCTCCTCTGATTGAAAATTAAAGAACCAACAGTCTACATACATGGATGTCAGATCTTTAGATCGGATATACACACTAAATACAAGCTCTTGAACAAGACTAAAGTCCAGAAGTGGACAAACACTTTCAACTTTCCACCAACATTTTCTACATGTGAACGTTAGGAAGAAAAAGAGAAAGTTGCAGCTACATATTCACAAAAAATGTGAACAAAAATATGTTCATTGTTATCAACAGACCTGTTGTGGAAGGCACCAGAGCTACTTAGAAACAAACATTCTGCCCCGCGTGGCACACAAGAGGGCGATGTGTACTCGTTCGCAATCATCATGTTTGAAATTCAATCCAGAAATGGGCCTTACGGAAGCTGCGAACTGACCCCAAAAGGTTAGTGTCTTTATATCGGCAATTTATTATTTCATTGAAAACTTGTTGATATCCCCAATGAGAATGACAACATAGCATTGATTTCAAGTGGTATTTAATAATATTACTAATAATAAATATAATAATAATAGCAAGAAGAAGAAGAAGAAGAAGAAGAAGAAGAAGAAGAAGAAGAAGAAGAAGAAGAAGAAGAAGAAGAAGAAGAAGAAGAAGAAGAAGAAGAAGAAGAAGAAGAAGAAGAAGAAGAAGAAGAAGAAGAAGAAGAAGAAGAAGAAGAAGAAGAAGAAGAAGAAGAAGAAGAAGAAGAAGAAGAAGAAGAAGAAGAAGAAGAAGAAGAAGAAGAAGAAGAAGAAGAAGAAGAAGAAGAAGAAGAAGAAGAAGAAGAAGAAGAAGAAGAAGAAGAAGAAGAAGAAGAAGAAGAAGAAGAAGAAGAAGAAGAAGAAGAAGAAGAAGAAGAAGAAGAAGAAGAAGAAGAAGAAGAAGAAGAAGAAGAAGAAGAAGAAGAAGAAGAAATCCTACCCAGTTCAGTCCATTATTTTTCCTAAGACATGCCTAACCATGTGTAAAATACATCTTTATTTCACATACAACAGATATTATTGAGCGGGTAATCACCAGAGATGAGAACGGCCACCCGTTCCGGCCGCGGCTCTCGGAAATCAGTTCCACGCCTAAATTTATCACTGACGTCATCAAAGAATGCTGGGATGAGGACCCCATGAAACGGCCAGATTTCAAATCTTTGCGTACCAAACTGAAGCCTATGCAGAAAGGAATGTGAGTAATAAATAATTGCATTCATTAGCTCTTGCTTTTGCGACAAGTACTTTGTCATGATTAGGTGATTACGATTGTCGATACCGAGGGTTATTTGTCGATTTATGCTTTAATATACATTCGAGTCGAGGTGCCTTTTTTCTGGTATCATATTTGACTCTTTTTATGCTTTTTATTTTTTCTCTTCTGTGTTTTTTTTTTTCTCTGTCTTCGTCCCTGTCTCTTCCTGTCTTTCTCCGCCTCTCTCGCTCTCTCTCTCTGTCTCTTTCTCTCTCTCTCTCTCTCTCTCTCTCTCTCTCTCTCTCTCTCTCTCTCTCTCGCAATGTCTCGGTTTTTATCTTAGTCCATTTAGCTCTTTTCACTACTTTCTTCTGGCCTGTACTCAAAATCCTATCTGTTAGTCACTTTAGCGTGCATTCTCTTTCAATTTCTCTCTTTCTCTCTTTGCCTGTCTCTCTCTCTCTCTCTCTTTGTCTGTCTTTCTCTATTTGTCTCTCTCTCTGTCTCTCTCTCTCTCTCTCTCTCTCTCTCTCTCTCTCTCTCTCTCTCTCTCTCTCTCTCTGTGTCACCCATCTCTCCTCAGTCACTCTCATATCTCGCTATGTATGTTATATGGTCTCCTCCTCTCCACATCTCTCATTACCTTACTCTTTCTCTCTCTATAAGACTTTTTTCTGTTCCCGTCTCATTTTTTTTTTCTTTTACCTTTCTTCTATTGCAACATATCTCTTTCCTCCTCATACTTCTAGTCATCTTTCCGCCCCTCCCCACAACATGTTACAGTCTAAATCCATTCTTTTTTACAAATCCCCTGTACTCTTAAAAACACACACATTAGCACAACCATAGACACACTATATAGTACACCAATTATATAGTACGATGTGTTTATACTAATGAGTGTGTGTGTATGCATACATATATATATATATATAGTCGACATGTTTCTATTGACTAACATATTGCCGGCTTTATTACTCTTGACCATATGTCTAGGAAATCCAGTATTTTCGATAATATGATGGCTATCATGGAGAGATATGCCAGCAACCTGGAAAGCCTTGTCCAGTCTCGCACTGATGAACTGATTGAAGAGAAGAAGAAGACTGAAGAGTTACTCCACGACATGTTGCCTGGGTATGGACTTTTGTTTTTGATTGTATTTCCTAGTATGTCATATCGTTTGCATAGCTGTCTAATATATTTCTTTATCTTCTTCTTTTCCATTTCATTTTAAAACCCCTATTTCGTTCCATCTGTTTTTCTTTTTGAGTTTATTTAAGTCTATGCATATGTTTCATTGTAAATGTAAAGCTTAGCTATTTTTATCTGTGAAAATTCCGTTCTCTTCTTCTTTTCGTTTGTCCAAGTGACGTAATTGCGTTGTTTACAATACAGGTGGGATTTGTGTTTCTTTCGGGCGACACATCCGACTTCATCGAGCATTCGTTGACCGGGTTAAATTACCGGAGTCCGTTTTCTAGTAAAGTTTTTCTTTTTGATGATAATAACTGTGGTTTAAATTGTCGAATATTACCGTGTGCATCTTTCATTTTACAAAATGGCCAATAATAGGGTTGTATTTAATGGTTTTCCTTTGGTGTTTTTCAGCCTTTGGCAGAAGGTGAGATAAGAACAGAAGTTAAAGACCAATTTTTCTATAGACCAATAGACTTTCGATAGGTGATCTGGTCAACCTTCCGCCGGCCGCCTTTACTTCCCAGAACATCTGATACCTAGTTAAGACTGTGTAGACCTGTGAGCAAGGGTCATTTTTGAAAAACACAATCTAATGTTATGCGGACCCACTACCTTCTGGCCAGCAGGCGCAAGGTCTAGCCGCTACACCACCCCGCTCTTCATAGAAAACAGTACCAGGGGTGTTAGAACCTTATGAGTTTGGGCCCTGTCCCCCTTCTAGAACAAAGTGTAACAGAGACGTCCCCTGTCTATCTTCTTTTATCCCGCCAGGACATCCCACAAGCGATAAACCCCCGATGACACGAAGTGCCACCATGTGGATGGGGACCACCCGTGGAGAGGTCCCAGAAACCACGTTCAACCATTAGAGCATATTTAGCCGGGCTAAATTGCAGCCCCTGGCAGGAGCCAGAGTAGGGCTTCAAAAAACGAAAAATTGAATTCCATAAAGGGATGACAAGAAATAGCCGTCCTCTAAATCCCCGGAACCATTATATTTAAGTTTGTGTTTCCACACTTTATATTTTTCTTCTCGAATGTATTATTAACTGTGTTTGTATTGCATCGCATAATCATCATCATCATCATCATCAACAGTAATATCAGTAATATGCCCTTAAACAATGCTTATGTCATTTGAGGTCTCATCGACGCACGCAGAAACTTTGCAACGGACTGAGCGCTCACACCCCTGCCTACCCCACTGCTACACCCAGTTGTTTTTGTGCCGGCTTTGTGTCCCTGTGGTTTGACCAAATATAGTTGTTCAGAGCTGCCCATTCTTGTTGCTTTCACAGAACTGTAGCAGATCAGCTGATGCACGGAAAACAAGTGGAAGCAGAAAGCTTTGACATGGTTACCATTTTCTTCAGCGACATTTGCGGGTTTACAACTCTCAGCTCGGAAAGTACACCAATGCAGGTAAGACAAAGTAGTCATGTTTGTACGATAGTCAGTTCAAGATTCCATGTTGGCACATTTTTGAAAAATGTGGCTTTCAAGGCGATAATGTTCCATTTAGCTACATCATGATTAATCTGTCGGCATGACTTGCTAACCTCGGACATGGTCGTTGATATAGCCCAAGTAGAAGAAAACACAAAATGGGAATCTGGCAGGGCTATTCAACTGGCTAGCCGCGAGCCAAGTCTGGCCTACAGAGGGCTAGAAAGTGACTGATAAATTTAAGGGGACCTTATAAGATGTTTAGTTTTGAATAATAAAAATAATAATATCACAAGACTGATACAGTTTAATGTAGACTGTGTGTTAATAGCATATAGTAAGCCTTCCCCGACACGGCCTTCTTCTACTTCTTCTTTGTTCACCGGCTGTAAGCTCCGGCAGAAAGTCTTGGCTGTTCGTCCATTTGAACTTTGGTTTTGTGCCAGTGCCTGAGTTTTACGTGTACATCCGTTTCAGTGTCCTGTTTGTATGCAACTGGCTTTTCTTTGCCGCTCGGGTAGATGCACTCCGACTTCGAAGGAAGTCCCCAGTTGTTCGACCCTTACGACATGCTTGCTGGGAACGCAATGGGTCTGTTCTTGTTCCCCCCGCCCCCTCCAGGCTTTGGAACCCACACGGGGAGACATGATTATTAATTTACTAGTACAGTCATTTGAAGCTAGTTGCTTGCGACTACAGGAGGTTTTCAGAACCACTCTAGTATTCATTTGGCTGTTGCTGTTTATCCTAGGCAAATTTACGCTCACTAGTTTGCCATTGCCACTGAGCGGTCAGCTCTCGATTCCACAGTGGCAACCAATGCAAGTCGGTCTGCTGCCTAAAAGCCTGCAGCTTCTATAGTACCATGCACCTCGGCATTACAAAGCACAGTCGCAACCCTTAAGCCACAGACAGTGACGCATCGATACTGCTTCTCCCAGTTACTAGTGTTCAATTTATTTCGACTGTTAAGTTACGTCTTCCCCTCGTTTTGTGTTTTAAAAAAAATAATCTTTTTTTTTTAAACTTGAAATTTTTTTCATGTTACTTTATTGCTGTATCGGACATATGATGCTAGACTTCAGATTGTACAGACACATTCGAACTGAATGAGTTAAGTGGTCGACATCACGCCAGCGATCTGTACTTTCAATCACATTTTCTGGGACCCATTTTAGGCTGTGACCACCCAGAAGCCACAGTCATAATTTTATATGCCCAAACCCGCTTAACATGGATGGGAGCTCAAGATCTTCTGGCCCGTAGGCAGGTCTCTATCTGTTGCCGTACTGCGACACCATATTGTTTGTATGTGTGGTAATTTAAAGGAATCCAACTGTTGCAGATTGTTGATATGCTGAACGATCTGTACACATTGTTTGACACCATCATCGAGTACTACGACGTCTACAAGGTGGAGACCATCGGGGATGCCTACATGGTGGTCAGTGGCCTGCCCAAGAGGAATGGCAACAGACATGCTGGAGAGATTGCCTCTATGGCTCTTCATCTTCTGCAAGTAAGACACGCTTTTTCCGCAAAATATGCCCTCTTCTGCTTTAGTCTGTCTTCACCTATAATTCTGTGTTCCTTGAAAGATTTTGGCTTTTTTATCTCGATTTTCTTTGTTCGCACGTATCAACATTTACTCTGCTGCGACTGTTCCTCTGTGGGACACGAACTGAACCAGACTAATGATGACTTTATAGATCCAAAGGACGCCCCCTGGTGTAGCGGCTTGATCCTGGCCTGCAGATTCGAAGGTTGAGGGTTCACATCCGAACTGTGTTGACTGTGTCCGGCTAATCCTATGTTTAGGGCATAACACAAAGGGATTGACTATTTTCCCTCAAAAACTCCCATTGTTTACGTTGTGAATGCACGAATTTAATAGCATCACCACATTTTTTTTTTAAACTTAAGATCTTAGCTTCAACGACGCCACCTAGGTGACTCAACGAGCCACGGTTCGCATGACATCGACAGGGAGCAATTCCCAGTTACGTAAAATAGTTATTTCGGGCGCTCTATTGTTGCGAGGTAACATGCAGTCAAAGACTGGTGGAGAAATCGTTAGTGAGCTTTAGGTATCCATGTTTTTTGTTTTTTTCCAAGAATTGCAGTCTGCAAAATGAACCCATCAAGGATGAGAATTAAGCAGGACCAACTCACAGAAACCTCGTTCAGCTAGAACAGTTATACTAGTTTATAATAAGGTTCTAAAGTAGCCAGCAGTCCGAGGTGGATGGGTGTAATCATTTAACTTCAAAATGCTTGCTTTCACAAGCAAAACTCAGCTGTTGTTTAATATGTATTATAATTTCCCTTGGGTTCACTGTCTTGCAACCAGGAGCTGAAGGTGTTCAAGATCCGACACCGGCCCAACGACCAGATCAAACTACGAATAGGGATTCATTCAGGCCCCGTCGTTGCTGGGGTGGTGGGGAGAAAGATGCCTCGGTTTTGCCTCTTTGGGGACACGGTCAACGTGGCATCAAGGATGGAGAGCAACAGTCAAGGTAAGATATAGTTGCTGGGGTACACGATCAACGTGACATCAAGTATGTAGAGCAACAGTCAAGGTAAGATATAGTTGCTGGGGTACACGATCAATGTGGCATCAATGATGGAGAGCAACAGTCAAGGTAAGATATAGTTGCTGGGGTACACGGTCAACGTGGCATCAAGGATGGAGAGCAACAGTCAAGGTAAGATATAGTTGCTGGGGTACACGGTCAACGTGGCATCAAGGATGGAGAGCAACAGTTAAGGTAAGATATAGTTGCTGGGGTACACGGTCAACGTGGCATCAAGGATGGAGAGCAACAGTCAAGGTAAGATATAGCTGCTGGGGTACACGATCAATTAATTATACTGCTACGTTCACATTGGAAAGAACTGTTGTGGCGTTGCGGTTTACAGTTCGGTAGCTACTCCTTCGTCTAAGGTATCTGATTAGAGGAAACCTCTAATGAGACACCCTTTACTACATGATTTTGGATGACTGGTGTGTATTCTTCGTTTCCATAAAAAATGGCCAGGAACCTGTACAGATAAGTGCGTCAGTATTAGTCAACACATGTGAGCAACAGACCAAGTATTATACGAGTATTGCTGGAGTACTTATCTGAGAAACAGACAAAGCAAAGGACTGCTCGAGAACATACTTTAGCCACAGTCGAAGTAGCAAGAGCACATATCTGAGCAAACGACGAGTTATTATATTATTGGAGAACATATTGCGCAACAGTTGAGGAACTATATTTCTGAAGTACATTTTACGCAATAGTAGAGGTATTTTATTTCTGGAGTATATATTTGAGCAATAGTTTAGGTATTATATTGCTGGAGTATATATTTGAGCAACAGTTGAGGTATTATATTGCTGGAGTACATTTTTGAGCAACAGACAAAGTAAGATATTCCTGGAGTGCATATTTGAGCAGTTTTTGAAGTATTCTATTGCTGGAGTACTTATTTGAGAAACAGACAAGTAAGTTATAGTTGAAGTAGAAATTATTGATATAACCGACCGCTGACTCGAAGTCTGTTGACAAAGAAATACTGTACACAAAACTCAGTTAATAAGCCTTGCCAACATAAACCAATCTTGAGCCAATCTACTACAGACGCAGTGCACAATTATACTGCAGGCGATCTTGCAAAATAAATAAGCAATGAAGCATTCAAGACTGCATTAAGACAAGCACAAAACGTGTACATGTCCTGTTCAAGGCTTTAGAATGAACCTTGCATTTACTGTCTGTAGTTTGCACTTACAAGGCAATTTTGCATTAACAAATTTGCTATTGCTTTCAATTAAACATTTTTCTCTGAATTTGTGTATGATTATGGTTATTTTGTTTTTAATGTTTAGACTTAATTAGCATCAAATCCCTGATTCACCAGTGTTACCGAAAGTGTTGTTAACCTGTTCTTGTTACTTTGCTCTGATTTAGCTACAACTACTGTTCATTCCTGTAACAATATAGGTCTAGCCGTAAATGCCCTATACGCCTAATGGCGTGGAAAAGGGTAGTTTACTTTTCTTTTTACTGTTCATTCTTGCCTAGAATGACAGCAACAGCCCCCCCCCCCCCCCCCTTTTCCACCTTCTTACCTACCACCCCTTCCCCCAAAATGCTGGGGTTTGGTTCTGCAGTTTCCTTTAAAAGATCAGCAAATAACTGAACTATTCCTTCATACTATTTCAATTTACAGCACTGAGAATTCACTTGTCAGAGCCAACGATGAACCTGCTTGTCCAGATCGGCGGCTTTGAGCTTCAAGAAAGAGGCAACACAGAGATTAAA